TCGTCGTCGCAGCGTCCAGTGAGTCTAGTCTGACAATGAGAGGGCCGAGAACGCCGCGTCGACTTTACGTGCCGGCCATGACGCCTGGAGCGGAGCCAGAAAGCGCATGTGTCGATCGACCGATGCCGGATAATTCACTTTTTAGGGCGCAGCAGGAGCGGGGTCGACGATAAATAACGATCGCATGCATGTTTACGCGATGGCACTCGAAAGCGACACTTTTTACCGGTGGCCGCCACAGCCACAGATTACGGTCAAGAAAACGGGTGATCGACTCTCGCCCCACTTTCACCTCATCGTCGCGTTGCGCGTCGTCTCTGGTCTCCTGCCGCGTCTGTCGCGCCGCCGCCCTTGGAGGAGTCGAGTCGAGTCGAGTCGAGGAGTCGTTTGGCCTCCGACGCCGCCGTCGTCGTCACTCGCGCTATTTTGCTTCTTAAGACCCGAGACTCGGTTGCACGCTGTCCCCGTCGACGTCGAGCAATTGTTTGCGCATGAGGCCACCAATTCCAATTCCTCATTGAAACGCTAGTCTGAATTCTGAAGCGATCTCGTTGACACCTGACGCAATCTAGTTTCTAGGGGCAAGTTGATTTTTTTCGAATTTGGCCGTGCTGCATAGAGAACGTAAAAGAACACGAGAAGCACTTTTTAAGCATGAGGCGTTTCGACGTTTTATTTTTCAAAAACAGCTCGTAAATTAATGTCAATGTAAACAAATTTTTCAGGCGTGATTCTAACTGTCGTTTCTGTCACAACGAAAATGTGTGACGTTTTCTGTTCAGATGGTGGACAGCGTTATGGGCGGCGACTTTCAGCTCCGTCTCCATCGAATTTCTACGTTCTTTGACGTAGGTTACCACAGTGGCACTTCTAAATGTTATGTTTGTCGTTGCAGCCGATGGGTCGCCATTCCCGGTTCAGTAGAGGGCAAAAACGTGACAAACGTTTGACCTTATTAAATGAGGGTTAAAACAGCGGCGCTACACCTCTTAAATACTTCCAAAGGGATCTTCACGCACACAGAATTTTGCTTCAAGTAGAATTCCGGGTCATTCAGAATTCGAACTGACCCTGTGAGGAAAAAATGAACCAATCCTAGCTCGCTACAGTCGTATGGTCAAGCTTATTGCTCATAGATCAAGTGAACACCTCATAAACCGCAATAAAGTTTGAGAAGCATCGTTTGCGGGAATATTGCAGCGGTTAAACGAATATTTTCAGTAGTGGATTGACAATGAACGGCAAAATCCATGGTCATCCGTGGTGAGGGTAACCCTTAACTTTGGAAAGCTAAGTTAGAGCTTTCACTGTAGATTACAATCACATGCATCACTACTTTTCGATCGCTGACCATAGTCAGAAACACGCATCACAATGGAATAGTACAGAATGCATCAGAATTTGAGGCCAAGAAATTGATAGGCAAAGGTGGATGTTGTTCGTTTATTAAATTTACTCAGATCATCACTTTGAGCAGTTTGAATTGACATAGCGTCTCTGATTCGTGCTCTCTGCTGCGATCACACTTTCACAACATTTTTCATACGGTGTCGGTTACTGCGTCGTAAAGAGGAATGTTCCTCTCCTGAATCAGGTCTATCTCTACCCTGTTCCTCGGTGTTGCATGGGGGTGCGGCGGTGGACGTCTGTCAAGTTTTTGCTCTCAAACCAGATGATGCTGGAATAAGTGGTTCTTCAACCAACTTGTCTAACAAGGTCAATATCGTTTTTTTTAATCTCGACACGTATCTGGCTAATCCGTGCCCGGTAGAGAAAAGATTCGTTCTTTACGTGGACCTGCTAAAAAAATTGTGTAGACCCTGAAGACGGTTGCTGCACACCGAATGAGACCAGAAGAAGCAATAAGTCTCCTCCTGAGTTCCTGAGGATCCAGCGATGGCTGATTTTGGTGAGACTACGTCCGTTCAAAGAAGGGCTGAGGTCTACTTGACGGAAAGTGCGACGAATATCGTTTTAAACTGCTGTACACAGAGTTGGAATTGCTGCCACACATTTCGGTCACAAAACAGAACCTCTCTCTGATTGCGTGATCGACGACACACCTGACTAGTTGTTCGTAAGGCAGACAAGTTAGCCTTGAAACCAATTTTCGAAATCGCGTCGGTGTTACGGCGCCACATGCACGCCGCCGGCGTGCAAGAATGATTACAGCGTTGTGAGCATGTGTGTGGTCATCGCCTTGCACCATTTGCATCAACAAAACATCTCTGCTTTGTGATGACATCTGTATCCTCAGGTTTCCAACACTTTTGACATAAAGGATGGGTTTCTGAATCGCACACGGAACAGTTCCTCACCTAAATCAGGTCCAAACTTTGTCTCCATCTCTACCTTGCATGCTGGCTCTCCGATCGATGTCTGCCGTGCTTCGGCTCCGATATGTAAAGCTCATGGACTACAGTAAATGAGACCTCCTTTCTCACCGCTCTCACTCGTGGAAGCTACCGCAAAGTATCAGGGTTATACTGTAATTCATAAATCGCTTATTCCCAGCTGGTTTCTCCACGGTCACAGATGCATACGTGTCTAATTATGAAACGCACGAAAGGACAAATGTCTGTTGGCCTTTTGAGGAGCATGCAAATTGCTGAGTAATCAAATGAGGCTTTACGACAATTTGTGTGCTGATGTTACATGAGAACAGAAGATAGAATAGCGCCACGTTGTTTCACGAGTCGGGATGCGACTGTTCAGTTGTACAGAAGTTCAAGGCCAAGTTTAAAAAACGTGGACTCTTCATGCTTTTCTTCAGCTACCACAATGAGAGGGATTTCGAAATATTTAGAGCAAGTAAGTTTTAAGAAAAAACAGTGTGTTCTCAGGCTTGAAAAGCAGTTTGGTATCGCCCACAAGCATCGGAGGTCCTCAAAGGCCTGAAGATTGCAGTGAAATGGAAGACTGGTTTTGCGATCAGTGGAGAATACTTTAAACAGGTAGGACGATAAAACACTACAAGTTTTTGTGATAGCCTTAAGAACGCAGAACAGCGCACCAGCGAAGACTGAAACAGACGACTGCCCGGTGTAGGATACATTAAAAGACTATTTGTTTTGCAGAACGTTAGGGAGGATGTGAATAATGGAACTCTTGTACACAGAAGGAGGCTTGACGATTGTCTCTAGCCTTACTGTATTTTCGATCAGGTGAGAGCATGATTCGATGTGTTATTCGCTAAATGCCATTTTCAGAACAGTCGGCTTTGTTGTGTGTTTCATCATATTGGCAATCACGGTCATTTCACCAACGGCATTAGAAGAAAAAACAGGTGATGATAATAGATGCGTTTCTTGATGATAAACATACTTCATAAGCATTAGGGATTCTGTGTAATCTGGGGGAAACGGTTGTTCTTAACTATTCATTTAACTTACTCTCTGCAAAAAGAAAGATATCTGTATTTTGAGCGGAATACTATAAAACAAGGCTTTCAATCGAAGGGAAAACGTCTGGAATTTGTTGAAGCCATAATACCATCAATATGTAATAGTTTGTCAGGCGATTAATGGATCCACGTTATAAATATATCACTTCTTTTTTTGCAGTATCGTGGGTCTTGCTAATCAATATAAAACGGAACAGGGATCCCATTTACTATCCCTCAACGGCACTGGGCTAAGCCTAGCAAATAAAATCAAAATTCTTCTAATATCTAGCTTTGTCATCTCCAAATAAAAAATGCAACTGCACCAGAGACACAACCAGTAAAGAACAGGAGTTAGCACGTCGAAGGAATACAAGATGACGCCTGCATCTTAGTGACTCTAAGTCTATTTTATGCTTGGTTGATGCTAATGTCGGTACATGGAAAACTGGATGATTCATGAGCAGGGTAAAGATTCATTATTTTTATTATACTCTTAGTAACGAGTTCAGACGCAGCACCAAGCTTTCGGCCAGTACTACTAGCTTTTATCAACTGTGAGTAGCAGACAATGACGAAGTATGTTCCAATCTAGTTTCCAGAAGTCTATCTTTAACGTGACCGGCTGGTGCAAATGATATGTACCCGGATGAACACGTTATCGAAGCTGTTGAGAAGGTACTGATGACGTGAGGTCATTTGGGTGAAGCCTCCTTCGAATCCTGCGTATCATCTGTCGGACCAGAAGGATGGCAATCGATCAAGCTACATGATCATTCCAGCAGAAACAAAAAATTATAATTTAACTCAGAGGCATCTTTCATCACGTTCTCACGTATTCACTGAGCAGCTAGTGAAACAAAACCTTCTGCCAAATTCTTGACCACTGATTGAACACATTTTTCGCTGTCTACCTGTGTTTTTATCCATTTTAAGTATTTAATTTTTATTTTCATTTTTTTTCGAGAACAAATATTGAAAGCTAAAACTCTAGTTAACAATTGCAATTACACACACCCTGTGGGTGAATCATGATATATATTGGTTTGTCTTTTTGAAACCATTGATTCCAATTTATATTGGCATCCGAACAATTCTCAGAGGTTTTGTTTTAAACGATGAGAAAAACCTATTTCAGTGTTTTTATTTTGATTGTGATGAGTGAGCGTGCTTCTTGTTACACATACTCTTCGACTAGTAATAGTAGTGCAATGCTGCATGCTAGATGCCAAAAGTCTTATAGATCGATGGCAGGATGAGCGAGATGGACATGAATCAGAGAAAGCTGAAATTGGTGGCTTGAAAGTCCTGAAGAAATGTTCTTCCAATAGTGGATATCGAAAAAGGCTTATGATGATATGCAGAAAGACGTCACATCACCAGTGAAAGCGTTTCATACACATATATCGATTATGGAAGCCGTTGTTCGATCCCGATCAGATGTTATCCGTTTCAAATTGTTCCAAGACTCTCTTCAAATTGGACAAGTGCCAAAGGCTGATTTGCAAGGCAGGAAAACCAAAATGCTCGAACTGCTCCAGCCGC